GACTTGGCACCCCAGGGGCACCTGACAAGGTATGGAGATAACTGGTTGTCACCTGGTGGGGGTGGAGGGTGGCAGAGGTGAATGTGGCCTCTGCCCAGGGATGCTGCTATATCCAAGGAATTGAGATCTCTCCTAGAAGCTGACACTTTACATTAACAAAACAAAATCTTCCAACACCCCCAAACTTGCAAAGATACTGTTGGAAAGCTGCTCAACCTCTTGAATGCCCACGTGGTAACCCTTGAGAAGGACAACAATGAAATGCCAGGGAAGTTGCTATGGAGCGCGAGAAGATTTAAGTCGGTAGATGGTGCTACCCTAACCCCATGGCCCATGAGAGAGGATGTGCCTATTATGTAACATTCCCTGGTCCTTTAAGGCTTGCCTTACCCTCGGCAGGAGTGCATTCATAGATCACAGCTTCCAGGGAAAAGCAGGCTCCGTTTGAAGTGAAGAGAACCTGGCCTAGATGTTCACCTCCAGCTGCTGAAAGGCTCGTTGGACCAAAGGCCTGAATATTTTAGTTCAGGAGGAGTTCCCACTGCATGTGGAATGACTACCCCCAGTCCTACCCCCTCCAAAAAAGGCCTGCAAATCTGAAATCAGTTTCTTGAAGGGAGAGCTGCTGATGTCTTGTGTTGCACCTAGGGAAGCTAGAGCTGTTTTGGAGAAGATTGCCAGGGACGACCCTAGCCGTCCTGTCCTCTGGCTTTTTGAAAGTGGCACAAAGGGGTGGAAAGGGCTGGGAAAAGCGGGCTAGTGGAGCAGGTCCCGGCCAGCAGCTTTTGAAGCAGCTCGTTGTGCAGGGCCTTGCCCAGAGGGGGGCTGGCCTGGACCCACACTAGCCTTTGTTAGTTTCTGCGCTGCTGATCTGATGGCCTAATCTACTGCCGTCCCAGAAAAATGGGCTGGGCTGCCAAGGGGCCAAACACTGCCAGAGGGCCTGGCCCACGGCCTCCTTGAAGCTCAGCCCCATGCCACCCAGTCCAGTCCCAGGGTGCCTGGTACATGCATGGCTCCCGTGACTGTGAATGCCACCACCTGGCCACCTCCACCCTCGCGGCTGGAAGGTCTGGCCGCAGAGAAGGCGCAGAAGGGGTGCCCACGGTGACCCCCTGCAGCATGGTTTAGAGTGAGGAGATGAGGCTCTCCCTGCGGCTGCACTGCTCGCTCCTGGAGAGGGTGGGAGCCAGGAAGTGGGACTGAGGCCATCGCCTCTAGAGGGCGCGCGCGTCCCGCGAAGTTCGGGCCGCTGGCACTTGGGACGCGATGGGAGGTGAGACATTCACCTGGGGCTCCGAGCTGCCCCGGGGAACCGAAATGCACGGCTCGCACCTTCACTGCTCCGACGTGTTCCCAGCAGCCTCCGTTTCTGGAGTCTCAGAAAGAGAGCGTCGGACCCAGCCCTTATCTTCTTTTCCTGTGAACAGGCGCCCAAGGCTGGACGCCGTGGAGCCCCGCCAAGCAGGGAGCTGCCCCCATCTCGGCCCCATTCGGGCCTGGAGGACTTTTTGATGAGAAGAGGAAATCTGAGTATGAGCCGCCCGAAGTGCCGCCGCGGCAGGCCTGCTCGCCGTCGGGTCTCCTGCTGCGCACAGGGCCTCGGCAAGGATCAAAGGGATGAGATCCACCCCGACGCCTTCCGCAGAGCCATAAAGACTCTAGTTCCACCGTGTGTTTGCGGGGCCAGCCTACGCGCTCGAGGCGGCCGCACGAGCCGCCCCTGCGCGAGCGACGCGGGGCAACCAGCTGGGCCCCGAGACGTCACCGCGGGCCCAGGCCTCCACACCCGGTCCCTTCACCGGGGAGTCTACCCAGAGAACGGAACCCGTGGAACAAGTTCCTGGGCAAAGCAGAGGTTGGTAGTGGCCAGCCAACGGGAACCAGAGGGCAGAGTCGGCGCCCCCTCCCCCGTCATGTCCCTAGGCGTGAGCCCACGCCGCTGCCCCAACACACCGGAGCGGACCCGGGAGGGAGTCGCGCGGAGCGGCAGGGCCACGGCTTGGGGGCTGGCCGCCCGCGGCGACCTCCCCAGGCCGCCCCATTCCACCCTCCACCCCCGACTCTGCCCGCGCCAGGAGCAGGGCCCTCACGTCTGAAGGGCACCCCACGCTCCGTGACCCGCTGCCCCGCTCCGGGGCGCAGGGCCGCTCCCTGCCTCCACAGATCACAGAACTGGCGGGAGGAGGCGGGTAGGGTTCCACCAAGGGCTGGGTCACCGACTCGTTGGCCAAGAGCTGGAGATGCGCGGAGCAACGCGTACCCACGCCCCTCCCTGCGGGCTCCGCCAGTGCCCCTAGACCCCGGCTTCTCCGCGGGGCAGGGTCCGCGGGGGCTATGGGAGTGGAAGTGGGGTCAATGCGATGGCCGCCTTGGGGGTCTCAAAGGCGGCGCTCTTGTGCCAGCTTCACGCCCCCGCCCCCCACTGCTGCAAAGTCCGCATCCAGAAAGGGCTCGGAGCCCCGACCCCGGCTCTGTGCTGCGCTCTTCCCCGACCGCGCCTCACCCAGCACTGGGGTTTCTGCCCCCCAGCCCGGGGACCGAGAGGCTGTGGGGCTGGCAAGGCGGGGCGGCTGGGTGGTGCGCGGCTGTGCTGCGGCCGCTCCGGGCTCACTAATCACATCAGCGCGCTCTGCGCCGGCTCGGAGCAGCCAGTTGCCTAGCAATGCCCGCGAATTCAATTCCTCAATCAATAGGCGCGAGGCGCTGCATTTCGGGGAGCTGGCCAGTCTGGTGGGTCTGGGGGCGGGTCCCACGACAGACCTGGGGAGCAAGCCTGGAACGGCCGGGGAGCACGGCTGCGAGGCGTCCGGGCCTCAGGGCCAGCGATGTAGGGCCTGGGGGTGGGGACAGCAGCGGGAGCCGCGCCAGAAGAAAGGGGAGCCCGGAGGTCGCGCCCATACTCCTGGATGCCCAAGTTCTGCCCGAGTCCCAGAGAACTGCCGCCGGTAGGTGAGGAAGGCCACCTCCGCCCCCGGACCCCGGGAGGCTAAGGAGAGCCCTGCCCCCAGTCGGAGTTCCCTCGGTTGGGGAAGGGCCTTTGCAGGGGGAATCCTCCCCGGCCCCAGGGGCGAGACTGGGGGTCTGGGGTGGGCAAGGAGAGAGGAGGGAGGGGTCCTCTCCTCTTGCGGAGCCACTTCCCTCTGCCTGGGAGGGGATGGGGGACGAATAAAATCGACACACTTCTCTATTTACAAAGTATATATTTAAACACATAAAAAGCTGTATTGGATACAGACATTCACGACCGCATAAGATAGGTACCGAAGCTTCACTCTCGAGCTGAGGCGGAGATCGATTCGAGATTTGTACAAATCTTAGAATTAAATAAACCTAACACGCGCACATCCCGCGCGGTCGGCCACGCGGCCCCTGCCCACCCACCCCCCCAGGTCAGCGTCGCAAGAGGAGCGAAAGAGACACACGCACGACCACGGACAGACTGCGGGACAGAGGGGCGGGGTGGAGGGAGGGTGGGGGCAAAACCAGGCTGGCGAGGAGGGTCGGGAAGGGGCGAGACCAGCCCTGAGGAAGGGACATAGAAGGGACGGAGGGAAGGCGGGCAGCGAGGTAAAGACACGTGTCCCGGAGTGAGGTGCCGTCCACTCCGTAACAGACTTGTCCTTTCAATGAAGTTTCATCTGAAAATAGCGTCGACATTTAAATAGATACAGGTCGGTCAACGGCGCTTCTTTATACAAAGTCTAAAATACCAGTTTTACAAATGTGAGCAGATAAAAATTCCCATTCCAGGGGCTTCTCTTTATAGTCTCAACTTGTTATTCAAAAACAATCTCGCAGTACACTGTTTCCCTCTTCTTTACCCTTTCTTTAAACGCAAGAAAGTCTGGCGGAGAGAGGGAGCTGCCTAGCGGAAGGTGGGAACACCGGCAGGCGGAGGAGGGTGAGCTGGGGGTCCCGCCCTGCACCCCCCGCGGAGAGGCGCCCCTCGCGGGCCCGCGGTCTGTGCTTCCTCCAGCGCTCGGGGCCCGCGCGCCCTCCCCTCGACCAGCGGTGGGAAGTTGGATCTTCGCTGGCCCTTTAAGGGCGGGGGAGGGCGGCGAGTCCGCAGGATCGGTCCTCGAAAGGACGCGGGTGGGGGGGGGGCAGATTTGTGCTTTCGAGTCAAGAGGGGTGCGCGTTCTGCGTCCTTGGGGCGCAGCGTGGTCGCGGGGCGGGGGCGTCCCGGGACCCTCCGCCGCGCACGGCTTCCCCCGCCGCGGCGTCTCCTCTGCAACTCCCGCTCCTCCCTCCCGCTTTGGCGGAGTTTGAACGTGGAGTTCAAATAGAGAACACTCCGCGAATCGAAAAGGCCTATAAATTACAGCTTTTGCTTTTAAGAAGGGGGAAAAAAAAGGAAAAAGCAAAAATTCTGATGCGCATTCTTGGCTGAAAACCTCACCTCGCCCCTCCTTCCCCTCGCCCGCCTGAGCTGCCGGCTGCGATCCTGCCCGGCTCTGTGCCCCGAGCCCAGATCCTGCCCGCGGGCCAGCCAGGCCGCGACCAGGGCCTGGGTGCGAAGCCCCCGCTCCCAGCCGCGCCGCCGCGCCGCCCCCCGTGGGTCTCGCAGGGTGGGCCCGTCTGGCCGCTCGTCCGTCCGAGAGCTGGCGGCCCGCCCTCCCTGGGGGAGGGCGGCTAGTCCGACTCTTCCTGGGGGGCGGGGGCCACTGTCTCTTCTCTCGGCGAAGCTAGAGAAACGCGAAAAAGAAAAGTCCACCCCCAAACGCTTTTCTTGTAAAACAACGACTGTCTCAAACTCCGGGCACTGACATGCAATCTTCCCAATTTATCCTGGCATTTCGGGAATGTAAACAGATTCGCTGGATTTCTTTTCTTTCTGTGGAGTAAGGAAAGGAATCGAGGGAACTGGGAGATTTTATCCACATTACATACACACATCTGACCTGCGTGTGTAACACACACATCTCCATAAAGTGCATTTCCTGCTGAGGTCCTGGGTGGGGGGGAATCCGCTGCGCCCCACCCACCCTCCCGCAACTTTTGACCTTCAACATCACAAAGAAGTTATTCAAGTTAATACTTTTCCCAAAAAAACAGACTTCTTAATCTTAAAAGAAAAAAAGAAAAAAAAAAAAAAGGACTGACCCCACCCCCTCTTTTCCTGATTGGGGAGCCAACCTTTTGTTGGCCTGGCTGGCCAATGGGGAGAGAGAAAAAATCCAGGTCCTGCCTTGGTTCGAAGGGTCTGCCAAGGGGCTGTGGGAAAAGGGAGGAGGGGTGAGGTGGGCAGGCGGAGCCCCTCCAGACACCATCAGAGGCCTTGTACCCAGGTCCCCGACCTTCCAACTGCCCTGGGTGGCTGCGGGGCCCGCCCTGCCCGGACTCAGCCTGTCTGCTCCCAACTAATCCACACTGAGTCTCTCTTTCCTTGTTTAAATAAAACAACTTCAAGAGTTGAAATATATATATTTAGATATTTTTTCTTAAATAACATATTTACATCTAATAGAAAATATAACTCTAGAGATAATCTTTCCAACCAAAACTGAGGGGGTGGAGGGAGGGATGAAGGGGCCGGGGTGTGTGAAGGTAGGGACAGCCAGCCAGAAGGTCGCCCCCCACCCAGAAATCAAAAGCATTATGCCAAGTTTGCGCTCTCTCTCTCTTGCTCTCTCTCTCCTGCTCTCTCGTCCTGGGATCCCCCACCCAGCAATTATCTTTTCTCTTTAAAAAAGCCTTGGTCCGTGTTACTTTCCTTAATGGTGACGGTTAAAAAGTTTGAGGTCACATCGGTGACCACCACCTTCTCCAGGTTGGTCAGAGAGGGACTCCAGGATTCCTCCTCCGGGTCCCCAAGGATTCTGGCCACTGGGATCCTGGCGATGAGGGAGGGCCTTCCGCCCTGGGCCCCCATGTCCCGATACAAGCTCCCCACAGGGCCGGGAGTGCCAGAGCCATGCCGGACGCGGGGGCCACCAGGGTCCAGGGTACCCTGCCCTTTGGCCTCCAAGAAGGTGGCCCTGTGCTTTATGACCCTGGCTGGAAAGGTGTCCACGGCCAGCTTGCCCGTGGCCTCAGCAGGGCTAGGGCTGGCCACTCCGCACTGGGCAAGGTCCGAATCCTGCCTTCGGGCCAGCTGGATCACGCTGTGGCCAGCGGGGAACTTTCCTGTCCCGGAAGGGGTGTCGTCCAGCTTCCTGCCCTTGAGGTAATCTCCGAGGCCATCGCCGGGTTCTCCCAAGGGCCTCTGCGAGGAGTCCAGGAGCTCCTTCCGGGGCTTGGGGCCTCGCTTCTTGGAGCTGTCGCCGGGGGAGCTGGTCTTGTCCTCTGTGCGGTTGGCGCCCCGCTCCCGCTCCCGGTCCCTCTCGCGTTCTCTCTCCCTCTCGCGCTCCCGGTCCCGCTCCCGCTCGCGGTCCCGGTCCCGGTCCCGGTCCCGAGGGGGCTCCACTCGGCAGGTGCCGCCGGTGCTCCCGCTGCTTCCTGGTGGGGACAGACCCATGTTCCGAAGACCCTCCCGGGCCCGGGAAGTAGAGGCCAGGTCCTGGGGTGAGCGGCCAGGATAGGGGATCCGGATGCCCCGTGCCGAATCACTTCGAAACTCGTAAGTTTTGGCCTTTGCCTTTGCCTGGGCCTGCAGGAGAGAAGGCGGAATCAAGAGCCGACCAGGGAGGGAGGGCCCTGCCCACCCCTCCCTGAACCTCTCCTCCAGCCAGGGCCTCCCTGCTTCGCCCTCGGATGCCTTGGAATTTCTATACGGGTAGGGGTGAGGTTTAGGGGTGACAGTCTGGGGAAAAGGGTAGAGGATTTGTCTGCAAGCAGCCATTTGCTGTAAGCACACATGTGTTTGTGTATGTGGATGGGCTGGGAGGCGGGATATTCTAGTGGGCTAAGCCCCTCCCCCCAAGACACTCCTTAGTACTGTCACTTACCAGGTGACAGCCCGTCTGAGGATTTCCTCCTAGATTAAAATAGGCGAAGTGTGTGGACACCCCACTGGTTCACAAGCCCTCAGGGACCCCTTCCCACAGACTGACACAGCAACACTGCTGCCCACCATTGGACACTGCCATCCTACCTTGAGGAGGAAGGTTTTGGGTTTGGGTCCCCGCTTTTTGGGGCCATAGAGCTCCATCTCTCGTTCCCTGGAGAAAGGGGGGAGGGAGAAAAGCGGGTGTGAATGAAGAAACCCAGAGGGACTACAATCCAGGCTAGACAGAAGCCACCCTCCGTGTTCCTAAGTGAGAAGCTGAGGCTTGGGAGGGCCTGTACCTTTCCTCAAAGGCTGCGAGCAGGCGGGCATCCAGGATGTTTTCCTCGGGTTCCCATGTGCTGTACCTAGAAGGAACCAGGAGGAAGTGGGCGTCAGTCCCAGGAACAGGGAAAGAGCAGTGGGTGTGTGTATCTGTCTCTAAACTTTTCTTGTTGCATTGTATTGTATTTCAATGTACAGGAAAAAAAGAGGAAGAAAGAAATCTCCCGAATAACAGTCTGGGATTAACTGCATATAACCTACTTACTTCTGCGACCAGCCCTTCCATTTCACGAGGTATTCCATGCGTCCCTGCGGATGCAAAGGGGAAAACGTGTGTGCACGGGGAGAAATGCATGACGAGAACACAAGAAATACATGCAAAAAATGCATGCACCAAATGAATGCGCGAAACCCCATCGCGAATGGCACGCGCCCGCTGCATCACCCCCTGCACGAAACGCTGCACAAAGTGCATGCACCGGTATTCATAACCCCACCCCGCCCCCAACCCATGCAATCTGTGCATCGCTGCAAGTCTAAGGAAAGCGCTAGGGCTCAGAGCCGCCGCCGCCGCCACGGCCGCGGCCGCTGCTGGGACCTGGGGGAAGGGAAGCAGGGCTGCAGCAGGGGGAGGGAACCCGGGCCGGGAGTGGAGGGTTCGGCAGGCCTCGGCCCAAGGCCCGGGGGCACCTACTTTCCGTATGCGCCGCTTCAGGAGGGCTTCGGCCGCGAACACCCGCTCCCCCACCGCCGAAAGCTCCATGTTGACTCGCCGCTTCCCCCCTTGGCCGCTTCCAGGAGCAGAAAAGCAGCAGCCAGCGCACAACAGACCATAATACTCTCCCGCTGACGTCAGTTCTCCTCCCCCTCCCGCGCGCTTGCTCCCTCCCTGCCCCCTCCCGCGCTCTTCTCCCCCACCCCTCCCCGCGCTTCCTCCGGCCCCACGTGTTGCTAACGTCGTTGCTAAAGCCGAGCGGCCGGGGCCTGCTCCCCTGCGTGCTCATTGGGGGAGCCACGGGCCACGCCCCTCTCCCTTTCTCCCCCGCGTTGCTACGTGACCCGCGTTCCAATCGCCAGGGGGCGGAGTCCGAGGCCACTACGGAGACCAAGCTCGAGGGGGTGGGGAGCCGCCGCCGGAAGTGACGCCATGAGAAGGGCGGGCCTAGCCGCTGTCAGTCTGCGGGGCTTGGCGAGGGGGCTGTCCACCGTCTGTCTTCACCGGGGCCCCTCCCCCGCCGCCAAGTTATCCCTCCGGTGCTCAGCGTCCCCGCAGCTCTCGCTGGGACCCCCGCAGCGGTGTCAGCTAGGCCCCGCCCCCTCGGCAGACCCCGGCCCGCCCCACCCCCACAGCCCAGACTCGCGCCCTCCCCTCCCCCGCTGCCTCCCGCGCCGCACAATGCACAATGCACAGGTGCTGGGGAGCTGCGGGCCGCGCCCGAACCCCAAGAACCGGCAACGCGCCCCTCCTCGCCGCTCCCCCTCCCGGACCCCTCCCTCGGAGTCGTGTACCGACCCTCGGTCTCCATGGCAACGGCCTCCCCCGCCACAGCCAGCCCCATCCCGCTCACAAATCAATGTGCCTGTGTCTCGGTCTCCTGTCGCGCAGCCCTGCCCTCGGCCACCCTCCGGGCCCTGAGAGCCGGGCTGGGCTCAATCTCTCTAGCTCAGAAGCTGAATGCAGACCCAGTGGGCACCCGCTGTTCCCTCCCTAGCCTACCCGCGTCCCGGAACCCCGTGAGGGACGTCGCGCGTCTCCTTCTTACTGTCCCCCGACCCGTTCCTGATGGCTGCAGCCACCTGCCCCTAACACCAGCACGCGCTGCTCTTCCCGGCCAGGCCCCGACCTGGAGTGTTGCCAGCCTCATCTCAGCTGCCCCCTGCTCCGTGCCTGCGTGTGTTGGGGGATGGCAAGGAAGAACCCCCAAAGGCAGAGCCTGGAGTTCGACAGGGGTTTGGGGCCTGAAGCTGGGGGCACGGTCCGCTCCCCCCGACCCCTGCGGAGTCTGTGCCGCGCACTTCCTGTCCTTAGCTCTTCCCGACGTGCGCTGCAGAGACTCCACAAGAAAATTTGGAGTGGGAAGTGGTATGGACGTCGTGGGGTCTGGCAGGGGTTGAGGGAGAGGGGCTCACGAGCGAAGATGGCGGGGTCCAGGAAAGGGGGCGACGGCCGAGCGGCGGAGCCCTCGTGTGTACGCGCGCGTGCACACACACACACACACACGCACACACACACGCTGTTGCTCAGCTCTAGGTGACCTGTGGCTGGGGCGGCGGCGGGGACAGAAGCCCAAGTCTGGGCCCAGCTTTCCACTACCCTTTTCTCTTACCGCCCAAGCTGCAAGTCACAGCACCCACTCCTTGGTTAAAACGTCGATTTAGTTAAAACATCGATGAATTGGACTGGAAGCGCTTTCCCTTGCCGAGAGATGGGGTGAGAGAAAGAAAAGAGAGAGAGAAGGCGAGCCAGGGAGTCTGACTCCAAAGGGCAATAAGCCCAGAGCGGAAAACTGGCCTCCTGTCCAAAGTTAGGTGCGCGGCGGGCGGCGAGCTCGGCGCGATCGTGGGCGCGCGGGACAGGCGCAGCTCCAGGCCCACCTTCCCTCCCGCCCCCGCCCCCGCCCCTGCCCCTGGAAACGCGGGCTTGCAGTTTGAGGTCTTGCTGCCAAACTTTACAAGGTGGGCGCTGAGTGAACAGTCTCATCTCTCTAGGCGTTTTGCTTAACGAACAGAGAGTGGGCGACGCCCAGATCGCCCCTGCGACTCGCGCGGGCCGCCTGCGAGAGGCCGCCGACGGCCGCGTCCTTAATCATAAAAAGTCATTCCCGGTAACAAATAGTTTCGTTGGCCGGTGCCAGCGATACAGCTGTTTTTGTTTAAGCTTAAATACTTTCCAACAGTTTGGGCAGTAAAAATAAAGTCGGCCTCAGCTGCCTATAAGTGTCTGGTTTCCCCGCCCAGAGAAAGCCCACCCTCCGCCCTGGGCCCAGGTCTCTGGGCACGCCCCGCCCGCCCCCTCTTGGAGTCCTCCGCTCGCCGTGGGCGACGACTGCCCGGCTGCCCCAGCCGCGCACCGGCCGCGAGAGCTCCTTGGCCGGCTCCAGGGCCACCTTGGAGGCAGGAGGGAGGGCGCCTGCCCGAAGTGGCGGGAGCAGCGGACCCGCCTGGCCTCCCGCCCTCCCCGCCTCACGCCTCGCAACGTCCCCTGCGCGGGCAGTGAGTGGTGGAGACCTCCAGATAGGGTTTCTGGAGCCCTGTCCCCGGGAGTTGTGTTTGCGCTGGGTGTCTTCACAGACCCGGAGTTTGCAAGAGGCGTGCAGAGGTCGATGGTTTCAGTTTCACGCTGAAAGTTAGCCGTGCGCCTCCGTCCCGAAAGCTTCTCTTCTTCTTTTTTTTTTTCCTTCCTCCCTTCCCTCCTTCTTTCTTCCCTCTTTTTTTTTCTCTTTTTCTTCTTTGCCTAAATGCCCCTCCAAAGCTTGAAGTGGGGGTAATGAAAACCCTGGCGCCACTGTGCATGGCCCTCTTCTCTGGATGGGTATTTAGGGTTTGGGGTCGTTTCTTGTTGATTGCCCACTGCATTTTTCTCCCTGTTGTCTGGTGGTGAAATCACTTGTTCTGAACAAAATTATCGCTTGCGAGGTGTCTGAGTTTGCAAACGTCGGGATTCCTGAAGAACCCATAGCAAAAGTAGAATTAGACTCAAAAGGAAATTCGAAGTATAGGGTAATCTGAGAACAATCAGACCAAACCCTGTTCTTGTCGGCAGCAGGCAGCAAACTCAGTTCCCGCAAAGGAAAGCAACTCCAACCCGGGGGTGGGGTGGAGGTCTCACCAGTGCCTGGCGCCCATTGCCAGCAGTCTTCGAGAGAGCAGGGCTGAAGAGACTGGGGAAATGAGTCACAGAGTGACCTCAACTCCCTGAGAGAGTTTGGAGACTGACAAGTCACAGCCTGAGAAATGGGCTTGTGATCAGGTGGGACCCAGACCTGGGGTCTCCCTGGTGGGCACTGAGGATGCCTGTACATGCTGGGACAGGGAGCTAGCGTGGGGATGGTAGAGGCATAGAGTAGGGACCAGTAATTTCAAACTGGCCAGCGGTGGTATTGAATTAGAAACCAAGGGAAGGAGGATCCCCAATCCCTACCTTTCTTATTGAACCCCCTTCCTCCATCTCTCAATGCTACACAACCCCCTTCTTTCCTCCACACAACCTCCACAAAATTGATTTTCTCCTTCAGAGTTGGGTAATTGCTTTTACCACATGCAACCCTGGAGTAAACAAAACAAAGTTTCAAAGAACAAGAACCCTCTGCTCTTAATCCCCGTAGTCCTGGGCTGTGGCTGTCAGGTTCGAGTGCGCCTCCTCTGCAGTAAATAAGGTAACTGCTTCCTATTACTTTAGCCCCATATGGCTGCAATTTGAGTGTCTTTGGAGACAGTGCGTGTGTTAGGGTGGGGGGCAAGGGGGGAGTGAAAGTGGAAATCAAATGCTCTCAGATCGCATTTTTATGAAGGAAATTGTCAGCTATTCTCTTAGCAGCCTTCCCTCCACTGCTGGCTCTCAAGAAGAGCTGCCCTGGTTCTTTGTTTACAGAAATGCAGGCACACGCCCACCTCCAGACACCTGCTTCCCGAACCTCTAGGTCTCTTGCCCATTCTGCACTCATTTTGGTGACCTGGGCGCATGGTCTGACTTCTCTTCCCAACAAAGGATCTCCAGCCTGCTCCTGACACTTGGGAGCCAGCCCGAGCCTTCAGCCCCAGTCTCTGGAAGGTGCCTAGACTCTGTGCTTTTCGCCTCTGCCTCATTTGAGCCTGGAGGTTGCCCAGGGCCTCCTTAGGCCTCCTGTGCCTTATGCTGGCTCTCAGTCCCCAAAGGAAGGGAGGCAGGAGGCTGGTGTCCTACAAGGGGAGGAAAGAGGAGGGGCAGCTGGGGCAAGGCACTTGGCTCCTGGGTCGCCAGCCAGACCAGCAAGCCCCAGCGCGTCCTCTAGCTTGAGGGTGAGGCTGGGCCTCAGCTCATTCCTTGGGAGCTTTTCAACTCCAAGGCTTGGCGGTCGTCAGACCTGCCTGGTCTTGGCTGCAGAAGCTGGCATATTTGGAACCTAACCGTTTGCCTCGGGTGTGACAGCAGGGACAGCTGTGAAGTAAGCTCCTGGAGCTCCTAGGTGTGCCCGACTGTGCAGCAGCCACAGTCCAGTGGCTTACCTTCTGCAGCCCCAGAGTCCAACAGTGTCCTCCAGCTCTGCCTCACCCACGCTGAGTCAGGCCCCGCACCTGTGGGACCCTGATTGCCTCTATGGGGAAGCCACAGGGGTGACGGAGTGCCCTGCAAAAAGGTCGTAAGTTCTGGGCCTGGTCAGTGTCCAGTGTACGGAGACTGGAGGCGAGACTGCTGAGGTCTAGCCTGGGCTCCATCCTCTAGTTATCCCCTGGAGCAAGAAGTTCCTACTGCCCCTGTCATTTTTCTCCTTCCCAGTAGACTCTCAGACCATCCTTGTTGGAGACACAATAGAACAAGCTGCAAAGGTTAAGATGGGGCTGTTCTGTTACCATAATTTCCCACAAGCCTGCGTACTCTCTAGAAGCCATATAACCCTGGACTTCAGCCCCCTGAAATCACAGGAATTGAAAACAAGCTCCCTTCCTTCCCCTCCACAGAAGGAATGAAGGTCCCTCAGAGGCAAGCAACATTTGTTGAGCAGTTGTCTGGCACCTGCATTATCCCATTAAAATTCACAACCAGGTAAGATCAATTTCATTAACCCCATTTTAAAGGCAATGGAACTGAGGCACAGTGAGGCCAAGTAACTTGCCCAGGGCCACACAGCAAGGGTATTGCATGACAAGTCCTAAGTCTGAATCTAATACTCC